GATACTGGTTACCCTTAGGTAGTAGTATTAATATTTTGTATTTTGAAAAGAGAAGTAGGGGGCATCTAGAGTTCTAATAATGTTCTTCTTGATCTGATTGTTGGTTACATGGCATATTCAATTGATAAAAATTATCAAACTGCACACTTACGATTTATGCAATGTTTCAGTATGTTTTTATTATTCAATAGAAAGTTTACATATGTTAAGGGTGACACAATCATAAATAAGTATCTGGTACCAAACTAAACCTCCTACCACAAAAAATAGGAAACTGGACCAAATCTATGAAACAAGTGTTTTCAGGCATTAGGCAATAGGCACAGTAAGACAGTGATCCTGGAAAAAAGGGAAACAAGATGAGCCCAAAAACTTCCCCAGATTTCTTCCTAGAGATATTTACCTAAACACAGGATAAAAGAAAGCCAAGCAGAGTACAGTGATCTTGCTAACTGAGGACACAGAAATTGGAATTAAGAGAGGTTGAGACAACTATTATTTACAAGGTAGTGTACCAGAGAAAGAGTTCCAGAAATATACATAAGGATTGCCTCAACTCTTTGGTGTAGGTTTAAGGATAGACTTTATGAGGCTGGTAGACAATAACTACTGGGGAAATTTAAGCTAAACAACTATTAGAGCTTGAATAAAGCTTGGAAACATTCAAGTTCTGACTGATTGGAATGGGTAAATCTTATTAAAAACCTGGAACATTTGGTAGAGACACCCCAGAAAGGCCATAGTTTACAAATGATGCTAAATTAGTCCAATAGTAAAGACTAATCTAGACCTGCTCAAACAAAGCTGAAAAAAGCTGATCTGCAAGTCAACTAACTGCTTGCTTGAATGAAATTTAACAATCTTCAAAGAAAGACAACAAAATCCAGGCACTCAACCATGTAACATTCACAATGCCTAGTATCTGATCAATAATTATTATACATAGGCCAGGCGCGGTGTCTCACGTCTATAATCCTAGCACTCTGGGAGGCTGAGGCGGGAGGATCGCTTGAAGTCAGGAGTTGGAGACCAGTCTGAGTGACATAGTGAGACCCTGTCTCTACAAAAACTTAAAAAATTAGCTGGGCTTGATGGTGTGCACTTACGGTCCCAGCTACTTGGGAGGTTGAGGCAGAAGGATTGCTGGAGCCCAGGAGTTTGAGGTTGCTGTGAGCTAGGCTGATGCCACAGCACTCTAGCCTGGGCAACAGAGCGAGATTCTGTCTCAAAAAAAAAAAAATTATTATACATGTGAAGAAGCAGGAAATGTGAACCATAAGCAGGAGAAAAATCAGTCAATAGAAACAGATTCAGAAATGAAAAAGATAATGAAATTAGACTTTAAAGGAGTTAAGGACTTTAAAGCAGCTATTATAAGTATGGCCAAGAACTTAAAGGAACATAAATATAATGTGAGAAATGGAAACCATAAACAGAACCAAATCAAACTTCTAGAGCAGAAAAATATAATATTTGAAATGGAAATTTTGCTATATAGGTTTAACAGATTAGACACTGCTGAAGAAAAGATCAGCAAACAAAGAAACAGTACAAAAGAATTATTTACATTAAAGGACAGAGGAAAAAAGTTGAAAAGAAAATGAACAGAAACTTGGTGACCTATGGGTCAATACAAAGTTATCTAACACTTGTATAATTGGAGTCCCAGAAAGAGAGGAGGAGGATAAAAAAATATTTGAAGTAATTATGGCCAAAGTTTTTCTAAATTTGATGAAAAATATAAACACAGAGATTCAAGAATGTAAACCAAACTCAACCTGGACAAACACAAAGAAAGCCACACCAAGGCACATTACACTCAAACTGCTAAAAACCAATAATTAAAAAATATATATTAGAACCAACCAGAGAAACATTGAAGCCATCTTTCCTATAGGGAACAAAGATGCGAAGTACTACTGACTTCACATTTCGTATCAGAAAGAATGCAAGCCAGAATATAATGGAATGAAATTTTTACAATCCTGAAAGTAAAAGCTCTATCAACCTCACATTCTGAATCAAGGAAAAATTGAAAGTGAAATAACGACATTTCAGGTAAACCAAATACGAGAGCATTTGTTGCTAGCATACCTGACTTATAATAAATGTTAAAGAAAGTTCTTCAGATTAAATGAAAATGATTCCAGATGGATATTCAAATTCACAGAAAAGGAACAAAAAGTACCAGAAATGGTTCATATGTGAATTAACATAAAATTTGTTCTTCTTTTTAAAATTTCTCTAATATAATTAAAGCAAAATTAGTAATAATGTTTTATGAAGTTTATAACAAATGAAGTAAAACATATATTAATAATATCATAAAGGAAGAGGGAATAGATATATACCGTTACATGGTTTTTGCAGCATACATGAAGTGGTATAATTGCATTTGAAGGTAGACTGTGATAAGCTAAAGATACATATTAGAATAGGAATGACTAAAAGAAAAAAAAAGATGCCTAAAAGCTAATGAGTCAATAGAGAAATTAAAATTAGAATACTATAAAATAATTAATCCAAAAGAAGGCAAGAAAAGGGGAAAATGGAGCAAAGAACAAATCAGACAAATAAAAAACAAATAACCAGCCGGGTGTGGTGCCTCATGCCTGTAATCCTAGCACTCTGGGAGACTGAGGCAGGAGGATCACTCGAGGTAAGGAGTTCGAGACCAGCTTGAGCAAGAGCAAGACCCCGTCTCTACTAAAAATAGAAAGAAATTAGCTGGACAACTAAAAATATATAGAAAAAATTAACTGGGCATGGTGGCGCATGCCTGTAGTCCCAGCTACTCGGGAGGCTGAGGCAGGAGGATTGCTTGAGCCCAGGAGTTTGAGGTTGCTGTGAGCTAGGCTGATGCCACGGCACTCTAGCCCAGGCAACAGAGTGAGACTCTGTCTCCAAAAAAAATAAAAATAAAATAACCAATATGACAGATTTAAACTCAACTATAGTGATAATTATATTAAATATAAATGCTCCAAACACAGCAATTAA